TGACAGACAGACAGTGCACTCCCGCGCAGGGAAGCGAGAGAGAACTCAGGCCACTACCAGGGAGACCACTTCCGGAATCCTGCTGTGTTTTACGACATGCTACTGCAGGTTTTATTTGAAACCCTTGCACCCGTACCGCACCGTACGTTACTGTACGGAACCGCACCGTACCGTGTGGCATTCATATCCGCGGTACCGTGGCAGCAGTTGCCGGAAGGCGTCGTTGTGGAGCGATAGCGCGGCGTCCATTACCGCGACGGGCAGCGTTTCCCACAACGAGGTCATTAAATGCAGGCACATACTGAGATACACAGCAATCATGCTTGGATGGCGGCTAGCAACGCTAATCCGGACTTTGTTTTAGGGCTGGACACCTTTCCTTAAGGGGTCTGCTCCGCTGCGCTTTGCTACTGTTGCTCCTGCTGTTGCTGTTGCTGCTGCTGCCACCAACCGCCAGCCAAGTACGACTGCATAATCACGCGATACGCGGCGCAGGAAAACACAATCGGCACGGCGATACAAAACATGTAGTACACGCCACGATACGGCACGGATCCATATCGCCGACTTACCGCATGTATCATCTGGAGGGTGCTTGCACCGTAGATACCGCCAAGCGCCGCCGGTCAAAAGGAGGGTACGCGGTTCGGGGAACAGCTGGGGCGGGGCGGGAGGGGATGATATCGTTTGCTTTGCTACTGCTTTGCTGCTACTGCTGCTGTCGCAGCAGACCGCCAGGCAGACATGATTGCACGCTCCCAACAAAATGCGGAACTGAAAACCCTAAACAGTACGACCAACCGCAAAGCGCGAGGTATCTTGAAATCCAGGGGCTCATGCAAGGACTGCAGCTCGTGTAGCGCCCAATCGTTGCGCCCTCGGCATTGGTGTTGATATACGGCCGCCGCGCAGCCATAAGGACGCACCAGAGGCAGGCGGGAGGACGGGGCAGGAGGATGGGCGGAGGGGAAGGAATAATCAGCAAGGTACGATGAGGTGGTTCATGAGGCCGTCTTGTTTGGGTTCACGGGCGAAAAGACATGCATAAAATCTTATCCATAATAGCTCACGCATTCCTACAGGTGTTTGCTTTGCCTTGTAACGATCACTGTCGCTGCTGCTGCTGCCGCTTCTGCTGCCAGCCGCCAGCCGAACACGATAGCAAGGAAACGCCCAACATGGCACCGGACAATACACCAGGCGCTGCACAGGGTACGACGAACTGCACTGTGAAGTGCAGTACAGCACGCAACGGCACTGGACGCAACGCCTACGTACCCCATCAAAGCCCACACTAAAGGTTTCGAAATCATCAGTTCCTGCT